AGGTTCAACTAGTGTTCCTTTACGACCAATAATTTCCAATAATTATCGTCATAATTACTATAATATTCATATCAAATAACAATAACAATCATAATTAAATCTTTTATTACTTTTGAAACAATTTCAAAAATTGTAGCAATTAAAAGCAACTTAATTAACATACCATGAATCTAATTAAATTAAGCTCCGATAGATTAATTTAATGTCTCATAGATTCAAATCAAACTTTAATCCAATGATAATTTCAATCAATTAAGTTTTCTTTTTCTTCTAAAAACAAAACTCAATTGCGAAATCATTTAACTCCAAATTGATTTCACCTTTATAACGTGTTGTTGATTAATAATAATTATTAATTTAGAAATTATTTATTAAATCAACTGATAATTAGAAACCAATCAAATATTTCAAATATACTACTTTAAAGTGTATCTGAAAAAGTTGAAAACAAAATGATGGAAATTAAATTTCAATCAAAATAAAAGCATTTTGATTCTTGATAATATCGATCATTAATCAGCTTAATTGTTACCACAATTTCATCCATCCAATCAGTTAATTAGACAGAGACAAGAAAAAGAGACGAAATTAATCAATAAAATGAAGTTTCTCCCATTCTGTAGATGGCCTTACCTAGAATATCAAATTATCATCTCGACATTAGTTTCTCTCTTTCTCTCTTTCTCTTTGTCTCTCTAATTTTCATCCCTTTCTCTCTCTCTCTCTCACCATGATGATGATCATCTCTCTTCCTCCTTCCATAAAGTTGTTGTCACCAATTCCGAGGAAACATATGTTTTAATTATTATCAGAGTTTCTCATCCAAAATAAATTTTTTCTTATTCTTTCAATTGAGTTTCTCTTTCAGTGTGAACCTTTTCTTCCTGTTCTTGATTCCATAGACTCTTAGTAATATTTTCCTATGTTAGTCTTTGGTTCTTTGACTGTGTCCACCTCGATTCTCAATTAGATGAACCGTTATAATTTATAAATCGTTTTCTCTTTTTCTTTTTCATCAAATAGTGAAAATTAAGGATTAACCATGATTTTGTTCTGGTGACAATTAACAACCTAAATTACCATTGGAATAATTAAAGATCAATTAATTGCTGCTTCTTTTCACCATAGACAATGATTGCTTTTCATCTGCTGGTCAATTTTGTACTTCCCAATGTAAAATAATTCAGGTATGTTATTGTTACCTTGATATTAACTGAAAACCACTGGTCATTATTGTATTGCTTTTTTTTATAATACTTAATCTTAATTGAAATACTCAATTAGTTTGATTCAAACCCCTTGCTGATTGATTGGAAATGACAATCAACAATTGGGTTACAATTCCCTATGTTGAAGTAAAACGATTTCTCTTGTTAAATAGTAATCAAAAATTTCTTTCATCTCCTTAATCATTTATTCTTGATTGAGAATTAAATGTTTACCTGTTTCATTGTTTTCTCAATGATTAACTTTAATTACTATTAACTTCATCTCCTGTTTCTCTCATTAATTTCATCTTCCTTTTAACTTGTTTATCTTCTTGTCTATCTTTTATCTTCCCTGCAACAGGTATCTACTATTGACAAGGTTAATTTTGACATTGTATCAACCTAATTGGAGTATAAAGGGACCAATAAACAGTGACAATCAATAAAATACAAAACAATCAACTAATAAACGAAGAGATAAAAAGAGAATAGTGAAAACGAATCAAAAAATTGCCAAAAAAATCACTTCAACTGCCAACACTTGACAATACTTACTCGATTGATTGTTGTTACTTTTTTTTACTTCATCTTATTTGTCAATATTATCAATTTGAGTGATCAAAATCAAGGCCTGATATTAAAAGAATCGATTGGTTAATGATGACCGGAAAAAATCAACTTCCCAATCATAGCCCTTCGGCTCCTGATTATGATTATTTGATTAAATTTTTGTCTCTTGGTGATTCGGGAGTGGGTAAGACAAGTTTCCTTTACCAATATACTGATGGTTCATTTGATGGTAAATTTATATCAACCGTTGGAATTGATTTCAGGGAGAAAAGAGTTGTAAGTTAATTGCTTGTTTTAATCATAGTTACGATTGTTTTCTTAACCAATGTAACATTAGTTAATCAATTGTTTCAATTTTCTTAATCAGGTTTATAAGCCACAAAATTTAGACGGAGTTTCAAGGAGAAGTCAACGGATTCACCTTCAACTATGGGACACTGCAGGTCAAGAAAGGTTTGTAATGAAAGGAAAACAATTAACTTGATAAAATTTTGATTCTAATTGTGAAAAATTTACTATCAATCAACAGATTTCGTAGTTTAACAACGGCTTTTTTTCGTGATGCAATGGGCTTCATTTTGATCTTCGATATAACAAGTGAACAATCATTTATCAATATTCGTGGTTGGTTAGATCAATTAAAGACTCATGCTTATTGTAACGATCCCGATGTAATACTTTGTGGTAATAAGGTTGATCTATTTGAGAAACGAGTTGTTTCCGAGGAACGAGCTAAACAAGAGGCACAAAAATATGGGTGAGCAATTAAGTCTCAACAATTAAAACTAATCACTTTCAATAGAAACTTTTTCATTGAATAAATAGTGATCATTTGTATTCACATTAACTGTTATTATTTTATGACAGATGGAAAACATTATAAGGATAAGTTAGTTCAGTGAGACTCAAATCAAACAATAGCTCATCAAAGTTAATTAATTACAGTGTTAACCCATTTGATTAATACACTTGATCATCATCAAAACAATATTTCAATTGGAGTAGCAATTTAAACACTTTCATGGTGAAAGCTACTATGTTAATCAACAATTTGACTGATTGTCCATTATTTTCAAACAAAAAATTAACTCAGCAATTGTTGCCTTAAGCTTCAGTGTTAATTTAGTCTTAATTGTTTAATTGTTGGCTGTTATTTGTATCAATAGGCTTCCTTATTTCGAAACCAGTGCCGCGACTGGTTTGAATGTGGCCAAAGCGATCGACACCTTATTAGATCTTGTTATGGTTCGGATGCAACGAGTGGTCGAAAGTAGTTTATTCCTGTCAACACGGGCGCTGACGGGAAATTGCGGGTCGACCTTAAAATTGGAAGAGGACGACGAATCCAAATCTAAATCATCTTGTTCTTCGTGTTGATTAACCTGGTTCTTGGTGCCTTGAACAATTTAATTTGATCACTTTTATCATCATCATACATCTTAAGTGGTCAATTTAAAACTCCGACAATAATATAAACAGAAAAAGTTAAACCATAAACACAAATCGTATTTAATTATTGGATTAATTTTCTCTCTATCGACAAAAATAAATGGAAATCAAACAAATCAACATGGACCAAATGATCGTGATTTTTTAATTACAAAAATCAAAACACAATTAACATTCTTCATCAACTATATTGATTGTAATCATTTCTAATATTTAAAATGATCAGTTGATTGATATGATTATAATCATTGACTTTTGAACAAATCTGTTAATCAAATAATGGCCTCAAATTTTAAGACATTTCATTCAAATCAAATCAAATCAAATCAAATTAAATCAGTTTAATTACCTATCAAGAGTTATCAAGTCAATCAAATTTAATCAACTGGTCTAAATGGTGAACTTGATTTGATTAAATTAATTGTTTCTCCATCTCGTTGACAGTTAAATTTTTTCCCCTTTCAAATTTATTTCTAGTCCAAAATGTGAATCAATTAATTAATCACAGAGAAATTTACTAATGACTAAATGAATTATTATTCTGTATATAAATAAAGTCAATTAATTGAACAAATTGATTTAATTGTTTTCAGTTTTCTGTTGTGATTGTTAAGTTAAATTGATAACAATCAGCTAACAATTAGTTGTAATTAACAAACTTCCGTTAGTTTGCCTTCAAATAGGTAATTCAGTTACTTAATCAATTAACTTTCACCTTTACCGTTTTCACTTGTGATTAACGACAATTACGTGCACCAATTATCAATAGAATCTTAATTAGTTGATTAGTTAATTAAAACAAGTTATGGTTCAATTGAATGAATTGAGTTGATTTGTAACTGACAAGTTTGATTGTTTCGATTATTCTGGAAGTTAAGCACTTATTACAATCTAAAATTTTTATTGTATTATTTTGTATATTTTTAACTACTGAAAGTGATTAAGAAGATTGAGACAATTTAAATTATAGCTTTAAAAGGAAATTTGAGTGAAAAATAAATGTTCTAGGCTCTTTCGAATTCGTGAAAAGTGCTTTTTGTCGAATTTTGAGTTTAAGTTCGAATTTTCGAAAACTCAGAGAATTTTTCGAAAAAACTTAGGCTCACATATAAAATTAGAACCCTTTTAAATTTGAATACTGAAAAAAAATTGAAATCAGATCAGTTTTCTGGCAATTATTTAATTATAAATTCACCTAACTCTGCGTGGTCCAACCTATTATGTAAATTGATTGATTAAAGACTCAACAGTGAAATTGAATCAGAATTAGATTCAAATGTAATTAGATTGAGTCATGCTAGGGAATAGAAAGAAGGTGTGATGTAGAGAGAAAATCGAAAAGGCGATTGTTACGGTTGCATCGGCAGAGAAAAAAGTTACCTGAGTTCCGAATGGAGACCAGTTGATGATCTTCCATCCTCTTCTCTTTCTCTGTTTCGTATTCTTTCTCAATTTTGTATTAATTTCAATAGATTATTGACAATTTAACTTTTCTTCGACTAATCATCAACCAAATCATCAAATTTCTTCGTTGTTTTTTTTACTCGATTCTCATTTTATCTGATTATAAATTGTTGGCTTTAATTTGGAAGCCATGTTAAGACGACAATTAATCCTCTATTAATTTGAATAGATTATTTTGATAACCAATAGTTTCAAAGTAATTTAATCACATCCAATCAATGGACTGATCTCAGGTTTAGTCTCAAATTGCTCAAGCATAATAATCAAATATGATCAAGGGATTTCTGAGCAATTGTTAAGTTGATGGATTGATAACTTTTTTGAAAATACTTAATTAGTGATTTATTGTTTTTTGAGTTTTTTGGGCTTGATGAATTTAAAAAGTATCTTAAATAAAGGGATTTGATCCATCATTGCAATGGCATTCGGTTCATTACAATAGATTATGATTGAGATTAAAAAGAAAAGTAATCCACCAAAGATTACATGGATTATCGAGTCAGTCCAATTGGAACAGCATAAAGTTGTCTAGAATAGCGGAAATTAAGAATAGAAATTAATTTGATTGATTGATTTTTTCTAAAAGAATAATTTGAGCTAAATTACCTCTGATAATCGAGTTAATCCAAAAATAATACCGCTTGCGGCAAGAACTTTGCGGTGTGGAAAAATTCCCACCAGCGGGTTCTCTTGTTTTTGACTTAGTACGCATTCGATGATGAATTTGAAGCTGAAATGATTTAGAGAGAGAGAGAGAGAGAGAGAGAGAGAGAGAGAGAGAGAGAGAGAGAGAATTAGATTTAGAAATTATGAGGATCGTAATTAGAAAATATTTTTTCTTTCAATTCACCTGAAAATTATACGACAAATCATATTGATACAATTTGCAAGGATTAAACCAGTTGCACCGATAATTGATGTAGTAGATGCAATGATTAAATAAACGACTGAAAATCCAATTAGCCAAACATTAAATCTATCAATTTGATCCTTAGACATCACAGCGAAGGTAAAAGTTTCACTAACACCGTTGATTGCTATTAAATAAATGTAGAAACAGTGACAACGCATCAATGTTATGGCCAAACCTCGACCAAGGTGTTTGTCATTGTAAATTTTCAACGCCAATTGTGAGTAGTTGAATCCAAAAACAAAGATAATTAAGCCACAAAGTGACATCAATTTAAACAAATCTCTCAGTGTGTCCATAGCAATTTTGTACTTTTTACGATCTTGCTTTGCGTGTTTTCCTCGGACAATCAGTTTACCGAAAAGTATATAAGCACTTTCCTCGATTGGCTGGAAAATGAAACGGGCAGCAAGAGATCCTAAATTGTTGACAATATCGAAAATTCCTTGTTCTTCAAAGGTCATTGGATTAAGAAACGTCATGATGAACTTTTCTCCTTCAGTGAGAAATTGTTTGATGATTGTTTGTGAAAAGAAGCTAAAATTTAGTTTAAGAAGATTTGAATCAATGAGAGGCTGTAAAAGGAGAAAATAGAAAATTAAAAATAACTCAGAATATTAAATTAATAGAAATCAATTACCTGAGCATTTCGATCGGGAAAGTAATGACTATAAGGCAGATCAAGATTGAGCTTGAAGGCAAAGTAAGTGTGATACATGAATGTCAACGCAATAGACGAAATTAAAAGGGAAAATAGAAAAATTATCACAGCACTAGAGGGATAACTTTGGACGAAAAGAGCCATAACAAAGCATCTTATGATCAGCGAAATGGCTTCGATGTTGATCCTAATCTTGACGTGATTCTGAAGTTGACAATAAATAAACATTGGCTCTGAGATCATTTCGATGGCAACAATGATGGGCATGAAAAGAACAGCAAAACGGTATCCAAAAGCTTGATCATCATCTGGTTGCTCAACCCAATTTAACCAAATATAAGAAAGACCATAGCCAAAAATAAACGTTGTGATGATACTAAAAATAGAAGAGGAAAAAAAAGACAATAAGAACGAGAGCAAAAGATGATGAGTTGTAATTAGAGATAATAATGGAAAAAAAGGGTTCATCATGGAAGAGTAAAAAATCTTGAGAAGATTTTAGAAAAATTTAGCAAATTAAGTGAATAACAGACTAACTTTAACCAAATTAAATTAACTAGAGCGGGCCAACGATGTGATTTAGCTTCACTTATGCAAACCCTTCTCATCGGTTCCCGGCTGATAAATTGTGTTGTTGTGTAAAGTAAAAGTAGCCTAACATTGATTACACCCAAAGTGTAAGCCGAAATATATCGGAGAATATAAATATTCAAAATGAACGTTAAAATACGTGTAGAAATCTGTAAATAGATAAAAAAAAATTAGAGCACAAGAGACAATTAATATGAAATGTTTATGTTAGCAAAGAAAAGTGAATAAAATAAATCACCTGAAAGACGATGTTAAAAGATGCATGTCTCATAGCATCCGAGACCAGAGTAGAACTCATTTTCAGTCACACTAATAACAAAAGTTATTACTAAAAAAAAGAATAACAATCACATGAATATAATTAATTTAATTAACTAAAACAAAGAGTAACAAAAAATTTAATCACAATCACAACAAAAATAAAAAAGAATCTGAGTTTCAGTGAATATAAAAAAGGCCACCAGATGGAGCCACCATCAAGAAGAAAAGTAAACAAATAAAAATTGGTAACTAAGGTTTTCATTTATTTGTTACAATTGAACGAGTGGAAATCTATTTAATTTATTGATTACTGATTAGCGTAATTGCTTTACGTTTCAATTGTTTTAGTGTTTTTAAAGTATTTTTCTTTTCTCTTTTTGATGATGTCAACTTGTTTTGAGAGAAAATGTCCATTGACTTAGGTTCAGCCGAGAAATTCATTCACATTAAGCCTCGAGAAAATATATTTCGTGAGTATCGAGACCCAACGACAAACAAATTTGTTACTCTTTCAGCAAATGATTTCATCAAAATTTGGAAACATTATGACAATGATGGTAAGTAGATTTTACTTTAATTACCCTTGATAACAACTAATTCCCTTGTAAATTGTTGATAAAATTCAATTAGCTATTCTATTCTTTTCATCTCAATCATCATCAATGGTGAATAATATTATTATTGTGATGATTCAATGATTTTGTTTTGTTTCTATTTTTGTTTTTCTCATGACGATATTATTTTACTATTTACTTACAAATAGATTTCAAGTGTTACTTTCGATCTTATCGAGAATTAATTTTTCAATAACACTCATTGATTGATATAAATCTTGTTATTCTATTGTTATCACTTTTCTTTTCTATTGTGTTTTCCTTTAGGAAATGGTCACATTGAAGGACAAGAATTGGATGATTTTATAATCGACCTTCTTGCCAGTATCATTCCATCAAAATCCATACAAAATATATCGAAATTGTTTTTCGAAAACTTCAAGGCTTCTTTCATGAGAGCTTATGATGATAATGGAAATGGCCGTTTAGAAGTTAAAGAATTAGCTCAATTGGTTCCATTGGAAGAAAATTTTTCCATCATATTTGATGGCAGCAATCACCTAAAGTCGAGCGTCTATTTCATGAAAGTAAATTACTAAATTAACTTTTAAGATACATGATAATCTCATAATCTTAATTGTTTCTATTTTCTTTTCTATCCCTTGTCCATTATCGTAGCTCTGGAAAAAGTATGATGTAGATAAAAGTGGCTCGATTGACGCTTCAGAGTTCAGTGTGAGTATCAATGGCTAATTAGTGTGTTAATTATGTTCTAATTGTTATGATATCGAATCTCTTTAACTACTATTCACTTTTCGTAGAGTTTATTGCGAGACTTTTATGCTAAAGTGCGAAAGAAGAACATCAAACCGGAAGAACTACAAGAAATCGCTGATATTGTTTTGGAAATTTTCGATTCCAATAAAGACGGTAAATTGCAGATCGGTGAATTAGCCAAGTGAGTTTTCGAATTAACAATTAACTACCAAACTGTTTCTTTTCTTCTACATGAATTTCAATTTGTTCAATTTCTATCTTAACTTTCAATCAAATTTCTTTTATTCTGTTTGTTAATCATTTTCTCTTCTTCTTTGTTTACCTTATAGATTATTTCCAGTTGAATCAAATTATCTGAAAAGGATAAAATTAATGAAGAGTAAAAAGATTAAATCAAGTGTAATTAATCGTATCTTCAAAAAATATGATATTGTAAGTAATATAATGTTTTTCGTGAGGAAAAGTTATAACAATAATCAATGTTAATTACCCTTATTATTTACCCGATCAGTATATAAGTTGTTTGACAAGTTCTACTATTAGTTTATCACTGGTCAGAACTGACGTACAATCCAAGGTCAGTTAAACCTTGTGGTTACTAAATAGCATGAAAATGAGAAGAGGAAAAAATCCTCATCAGATATAATTGAATAATCTTATTAGTTTTTTTTTCTATTAATATCTTCATCTTTTTGAGTCTGTCAACTTTTCTGTTGTCTAATTTTATTTATCTTTCTCTCTCTCTCTCTCTCTAGGATGGAAATGGTCAAATCGAGAATGAAGAACTCGAAGGTTTCTTGAAAGATCTGGTGGAATTACAAACTGACGTGAGTCTTTTCAATCGAGGGAAATGACAAGAACTTTTGATCATTTTGAAAATTCGATTTTAATCCTTCAATTTATGTTCTCTGATTGTTGGAATTGTTTTTCTTCTCTTTCTTTCTCTCACTATTTCCTAGGAATATGAGTTGGGTCAAATTGAAGTTGTTAAGAAACTGGTTTTAAGAAGCTGTGATATGGACAGAGATGGAAGAATATCAAAAAAAGAGTTGATTGTTATCCTTAATTCACTTGTTGCAGATAAAAAAGATCCCAAAAGACGACGGAATATATTACTTTGTTCCTGAGATCGGCCAATATGACAGAGAAACACGATTAATGTTATATTAACATTGTACAGACACAAATTGATTTGCAATATTTTTAATCTTAAAATTGACATCCTTTATGGTCAGTTGGTGAGAATCAATTATTATACAGGTAATAAACATGTTGACTGGTCCATGAAGGCGGATTGTTCAGGTATCATGATGGAATCTATTTATAAATATTTACAAGGAGAAAGTCAAATTTTGTGAAAGAGCAAAACTTGAATCATTTATCCTGCTTGGCTTTGATCATTTCTTTAAATTGTGATAAAATCTTATTTTCACGTTTCGCACGCTCATCACGATTAAACATGGCCAAGGCTCGTTTCTCGTCGGCGCTGTAGATTTGGTTTTCTTTTCTCAACCGAACGGCTTCCATTCTACGATGACGAGAACCACTCATCACATAACCAACATCTTCATACGCTTCGATTTGATCACTGGTTAAACCGATTTCTCCTCTTCTGGGAATCCTTTTACCTTCGGCCACAAAGCAGCCATAGCCGCTCCTTCACCGGTAAAAGAGCCCGACCCAATTCGCGTACATTAGTGCAACCGATCCTTTGGGTGATGGACCAATTTGTGAATCATCTGAATCCTGTGAACCATCACCTTCTTTCAGCTTCTGTTTTTCCATCATTTCTTCAAGAAATTCTCGTTCTTCATCATACTGACCAACTGGTTTCAATTCTTTCTCTCTATCAACATCACTATCTTCCGATCTGCTGCTAACCTCACTATCACTGCTACTACTGGTCCGTTTTCGTTTCTTTGATCGATGTTTATGTTTATGGCTTTTCTTTGACTTCTTTGACTTCTTTGATTTATGTTTGTGTTTTTTCTGTATAAAAACAAAGAAGACAAATGAATAAATAATACGAAACAAAATCAAATTGTTAGACATAGAATTTAACTTGAGTACACTTACCTTTCTTCCGACTTTTTTTACTCTTTTTAGCCTTTAAATCAATCTCACTCTCACTTGATTGTGAATTGTCAACTTTACGTTTAGATCCAGTTGGTTGATCAATTTTTCTTTCTTCTTCATCATCATCACTATCATCGATCGGCTTTTTCGGTGATGAATCCCAAACATCTAAAACTCCACGAATTGCCAATTCCTCCTTTGACGACGTCTTGAAGCAAAATAATCATCTCTCTGATCCATAATTCCAACACAATTTAATTCAAAATAATTTGATTAACCAGTGAGAAACAAATAAACAAACAATCATTTCACCCAAAAAATGAAAACACTTCGGATCCGAAGGACTCAAAACAAGAGATCCGATATTCCGGTCGAGGGGGAAAATATTTTACTCTCCCCCTTTCTTTTCGTCATCTTGATTAATCAAAAAGTGAAACAATTAAAAAACAATCAACTGTATGATTGAGATTGAAGATCAAAGTGAAGATGATGATCATCATAAATCAATCGATTATTTATTTAGAAATTGAATCAATAAAAGCGAAAATAATTCTCGAGAGTTAATTGTAATTATTTTCGACTTTTTTTTTATAACAATTATGATTAAGTACAAAAAGATTGATGCAAAAAATATACAAGATTCATAACAATTGATTAAAATAGATATTTTTTTTTGGAAAATTGATAATCTCGAGGAAGAACATATTTTTACGTTAACTTGTTGATTAGATGGCAACTCTTATTTCTAATTAATTAGAGAGAGAAGTCTAATTAAAAAGTAGAATCTGAATAAAAGAGATGCTTAATGTTTATCATCATAACTGTTATTGCTTCTGCTGGAATTGTCCAAAGATTATATCATTAATAAAATTATCGACTTTGTGCTCGAATAATTATGATCATGAGATTTTTGTCTTCTCAATTGTTTCCAATAATTTGTAATAATTTAAGAGATTTATAGAGATTTAAACAGTTACAGCAGCTCGTTCACGACGTCGTATCCGTAAGCACCGAGGACAAGGTCTTTTTCCCGATTCGGTGATGAAACATGAGATATGGAAAACGGCCTTACAATTATCACATCGATAAGTTACACTGGTATCAAAGGATAAATAATTTGCGGTGATTTACAAATTTCACAAATGAAACCTTTCTGACTACACAGGACACAAGAGAACGTGTTTCGAGCAAATTGAATGGTTTTCGTAATAAATTATTGAGAGATGTTCCGATTGAATCTGATGATGAGAATAGAGAAGAAACAATTTCAATTAGATTATCATAAACATTGTGATCAACATGAAGGAGAAAATAATTATTCATGCATATCTTGTGTTGTCATTAGATTGATAGTCAATAAACTTTGATTGTTTTTCGTTGTTCGATTGTTCAATTGATTACCTGGAGTAAATCAGCCATCGAGTAAAGGTGAATATGTTCATAAAGATGATCTCTAGGCCATAGAATCCTCCTCAATCCGGTGGCAACTTGCTCTTTACAGGTAAATAGATAAGCATGAAGATAGAATAGTTGAGTTCTTAAATCAAGAATTTCTTGTAATTCTTTGATCATTTTATAAAGAATCGAAGCGGAAACTTTAATATCGATTAAAGGTTCACTTTCAATGAGTTGTAAACGTTTTTTGTTTCGATTGGCAACCGGATATTTCTTAAAATCCCAATTGTTTACAATTCGCGCTGGAATAGTCCATTTTTCATCGGCATGACATTCGGTACAATAATTGAAACCATCAAATTCACAGACACGAAATTTACCATAAATCATTCCAATAGGTCTACCACATGAGTAACATTTATAATCTTGTTCATCAAGACCAACATGATTAGCAATTCTGGTTAAATGTAATAGGAATTCTTGAGTCTCAGGTTCCTGACTATTTAAAACCATAGTTTTCGGATTATCTCAAAATCATTTCCGCCCAATGAGGTTATGGGTGAAGCTAATGTACCATGAGTTCCACTCCCACCAATCGGATTACTCGCTCTTCCAGACTCAGATTTTGAGGATACACTTTTCTTCCTCCTGAATAAACTTAATCCTTGAACCACCGCTACTACGCCTACCACTTATGGATGGAGTGGGAGATCTTTCTGATTCATTGCTCATAACACTGCGATTATCAGCATCTGATGGAGGAGCAAAGATAAACTCTTTGATATCGGGAGTAGACGAGAGCATAGCATTTGTTGATATGCTGTATAAAAGACTCTCATATGGCTCTTCTTCATGATCACCCGGTGGGGATGTAGACCAACCACCCTTGTTGGTTATACTATTACCACCGAGAGACGTTGAATCAGAATTTGTTGATAAACGTGATGAACTTGCTTCTCCAGCATTAGATGAGTTGGATAAATTACTTTTCTTGATTTTTACACTTTTACTTGCTTCAGGAGGCATTGATTTAACATTGGAACCTTCATTTGTATTGTCTTTGTGTTTCTCTTTCAAGGTTAATCCTTCAAGTTTAGAGGTAGATTCAATTAAACTAGAATGTGATCCAGGAGAGTTAGAAATCTAAAGGATAGGGGAAAAAAAGACAATTTAAGTGAAAGTAATTGAATAGAATGGATCAATTATGGTTAATCGCTCACCTTTTTAGTAGTTGATTGAGTAATATCGTCTTCTTTAACATTGGACTGATTAACTTTGACTTGAGTTGTTTGACTTGATGATCCATCTTCATCTGTTTGAGTAATTAGGACTGAGATATTAGTTGAAGGTTCTGTTGAGTTTGGTCTAGAATTAGATTCAGATTTTGTATCATCATTTTGAGTTGATTCTTTTGACCTTTCAGATGATTTACCAGCTACTTCGGACAATCCATTGTCCCAACGATTTAAAACCCTTTTTCGTATCAATTCTTTACGTTTCACAATCGTAGGTCCAACTTTCTTATCTCCTATTGTCGCTAGTGCATCGACAGCGGCAACAACGGCTCAGTATCTTGTACAGTTATACCAATTAACTTGAGTGTATCACAGGTCCAATTGTTTAACAGTGAATGATCATAATTAAGTTGAAAGGTCGCTAATTTAAGAGGTCCCATAAGGTCACGAAGACAATCCATATGTTCCTTGTCTCTTAAATAAGCTGATGGACGATAAAAACCATGTAACAAGGAAGTGTCATTAATTAAGGCTTCAAGGTAACTCTGAAGAAGACCATCATTAAGAGTTAATCTTAACCATGCTCGACATCGGCCAATATCTGTACGAATGTTGTTCAATTGTCCCAAACTCTCTGAGACTTGATTATGACTTAGAATTAAAATAACTGACCAGAAATCTAATTTATATTCTGTTTGATTATTGGTATCTTTGGATAAAGATTTACCCATCATACGGTTTAGCAAAGGTTTTCCTTTAAGACCATGAAGAAATGTTGCTTCGAGACAATTAACAAGTGAATTAACCGCTGGACTACTAACTTCGGTGATTATCTTACTATCAGAGATTCCGGTGGTTGTTGATATACCAGAATCACCACCAGCACCACCAGAGATCATCTTGTCCATAAACATCCTGAAGTAATTGTCTGATATAAAAACCAATTCTATTCTTAAGATTACTTTTCAGGTAAACATCTTTGGCAAATTCTTCCACAGTTGATCCACCGGAAGCAAGTAACCAAAATGTATCCATTTTATCAATTATCCTTTTCCTTTAATTGTTTCCCAAACAATTGGAATCAAACATCCGGTTGGACGAGAAAAAACAAAACAAATGAGATCGATGAGAGAGAAAAAAATGATTAAACAACTGAATTAGAAGTGAAATAAAATAAACAAGAGTAAAGAATTAACCAAATACACTAATGGGAAAAAAAGAAATGGAATTTGTAGATTTAATTAGCAAAAATTAGAAGAAAAAATCTCTTCGCAATTGAAATAAAGGTAAACATGATTGAGAGAGAAAACATATGACAGAATATGAAGAGAAAAACAGTTGAGAGAGAAGAGAGAGAGAAACAAAACAAACTGTTGATCGAATGGCGGTTCAGTTGAAGTAGAATAGAATTTTAATTTTCTGTTTTCATTGTTTATTCTAACAATTAATTGGAACAATTAGAACAGAAATTAATTGGATTCGTTTTTTTCTCACAAAGTGTCCAACTTGATACTCTTCGAGTGATTCAGAGTTTTCCTTGCGAATTCAATTGTTCATATCGATCTAATTTTCCATCTTTTTCTTTGATTAGTTAATTGAGATGAAAAGAAGATCAAATTAATTTGTTTCTATTTTCAATTAAATTGTTGGAACTATTATCATGTGGTTACGATGGTTTTCATGGAAATGAGAGAGATGGAGAAATGAAAAAAGGGTTTATTTATAATCCAAGGAGCTTTTGTCTTAATTGGATTAATTAAACACTTTAATTGAGATTTTAGGAATTGAAGATTTATAATTTTCTTTAATCTAATTGTTTTGTAGAGATTGAAAAGAGAAACAGAATCTTGATTAAAACTCTTATACTGATTAACTTTCATATGGAATAGTTTTTATCTCTAATTATATTCTAATCAAAAGTCATCATCTGCAATTTTTGAACAATTTAACAAAATAATCTTTAATTTATTAATTTAGTTTAATCAAACTGGATTTCGAATTGAAAATCTCAAATTGTCTTAAACTTCACTCAAAAACCAATCAACTCAAATGTCAATGAAATCATTAAGTAGATAAGTTTCCTTAGTAATCTTCAAGAAAATCATAAGATAATGATAATTTGATTTGGAAAAAAAATAACCAACAATTAAAATCAGCGATTAAACAATTAAATCAATTGAATTGATTAATGGAAAAGTTAAAATGTCACTTGGGTTAATCGCCATTCCAGTAGATGTCGCCAGCAGATGATCCATATGTTTCTTTTATTAATTGGATTTTCATTCATTGATCAACTTTACTCATTATAGTAAACATCTGATTTTTTAAGGTTTTGTTTTTATTTTTCTAATTTAATATTGTTAATTTATAAATCGTTGATTAAATGGTCATGAATCCGCCGCTTCCAACAAAGAAAATTAAAACCGCCAATGGGTAAGTTTGTCTTGGAATATTTCAAATGTTTTTCTTTTGCTGTTTCTCTCCCGCAAAATGTTGATATTGTTTTTTCATTTTCTTTTTTTTTCTCTGTCTTTTTTTTGTGTTCTTTTTTTACTTTGTTAGGAGAATTGTTCCAATTATCAGGCAACCAGTGACAGTAATCAAATCTCAGCCGGGAAGTAAATCAAAGCAAGACTTGAAACATGGTCCATCCATTAAACCGCAACAAATTTTCTGGCAAAAACGTTTGGAAGGGTTAAGAGCGACTAATCTCAATTCTGAGTTTGTCGAGTTTTGATTTACCCAAAATATGAAACCAGTTGGACCCAATGTTGGTTCTGACACCGCCTTAAGAAGTGTTATCACTGCTCTTTATCTTAAACAAGGACCAATTATTGGTCAAACTGCAGGTCGAAATATTTTGGAAAAAAATCCTGGAGTATTTTTGGATCCAAAGCAGCCACTGGTCGGTACCGTGATTATCTCTGATGAAGATATTAGGAGACAAGAAGAGAGTCAACTTATTAAGAAGAAAATTAGCTATTGCTATCAATGAATCTGAGAAAAGATAAAGACACGAAAGAATAAGAATCACAAACTGCCCAACTTTAAATAGTCCAAAATCTTTGCTAAGGCTGATATTTTGTATTTTATACTGCAAACAATTAGGATAACCAAAACTCGAACCATTATTTATATACTCAATTTGGATTATTACCATGAAATATTTAATTTTTTTCCAAATATGACGACAATCAACATGATAAACAAAAAATAAAACCAAAGGTCGAATTTTGGATTAATCATAATTGTTTATTTAATCCTAGCTTTTGTTTACCCAATCTTCAAATTGTCATAAATTTTATTGAAAAGTTCACTTGGGCCATACGAATTGCACAAAATATCGTAAATATTTACTCAACTTCGATTCAATCAAAGTAAAGTCGAAAATTCATTTATTCGCTAACGACAAAAAAAATCGATATTTGAACTGTTCAAACATCGAACATCTGATTCTATATTCTCGATTCGAAAATTTTTTAGAACGATTATCATTTCCATTCTTTTTCTTTCACGTCCATTTATCTCAATTAAAAATTGATAGTTCGTGGCCATTGAATGTCCAAAGTGTCTTAGAGTTGACATTCGAACAGTTTTTCTCCTCTGATATAGTTTTTTCCATAATTATGATTGGATAATTTTCGAAAATTTCAACAACTAATGTAAAAATATTGAATTTCATCATAAGAATGATAAATTATCGGAACAAAATTCTAAGGCCACTTTAGATCTAACCAAGAGAAGCGACCAAAATAAATTTTTTTCTATCGTTTTTGTCACGATTTTTGGCCTGAAAAATGTTCAAATTTTGATAAACATCATGATTCACAATAAATAAACTTAGAATTTTAACATTTGAAGAAAAGTTAATTCTCTGTGATAGATCGAGTTTAATTAAATGTTGAATTTTAGACTCACTTTTCGTGCAAAACTTTTTACTCAACCAGATATTTCGACCTCCGTATTTTTTTAATCGTAATCATAAAATGATTAAATTTTTCATAAATCGTAACCAGAGAGTCTTAATTTTAACATTTAAATGAAGTATTTAGTCATATTTCTATTAATCCGACGATTGAAAAGGTGACAGTGTGCATCAGGTGTCATTATACAGATGAGAAACTCAGTAGCGATTATCGCGATACAAGGCACATTTATTGGACAATAGAAATGTAAAAATGAATGTTTTTTATTGCTGCGAGAATTAAATTAGATTTAAATAAACGAGTGTACAAAAATATACAATAAAATGGAAATGATTAGTTTCGAAGGGGAAGACAGATTATTAGGAAAAGAACTTAATTTTGGCCCAATTGTCGTGTTTGTTTTGTTGTTTCCATGAATCTTTATTATTCCAAGAATCTTTGTTATTCCATGAATCGTGATTCTGTCCGTGGTATGGACCATGTTGGTATTGGTTTTGATATTGGTTTCGGTGTTGGTTGTAATTGTTGTATTGGTTTGGGTATTGGTTTCCATTGTTCCATGAGCCAACATGATGACGACCATCATGATTGTAACCATCATGGTGATTGTAATGGTTTCTTGTTTCCTGAGATAATATTAGTGTAACTGTGACCAGAAGGATCAGCACCATTGTAAATGGCATCAGCAGAGTCGATTGAGTCAACAGATGGTTCGTTTGAGTCCAATTTAACTCGGAATCCACTTTTATCGGCAATATAGTTAACAGTTCGGTGACGACCATCGGCAAGTTTAAGTCCATATGAACCGTGGACATTACCCCAACCATCACCAGATTCTTGTCGGTAGTTGGATGATCCCCAAGGATCATTGATATCATAACCAAAATTGTATTTTCCACTCACATCTTGGTTTCGATAAATTTTACTCTGACCTCCGTCACCGTGATTTGTAGCACTAATTGTTGTAGAAATGGCAACAAGAGCAAAGAAAAGAATAGCAACCAATTGATTCATTGTTGTAATAGAAAAGTTTTAAATGTTTTCGTTTAGTTGTTGTTGTTGTTTTCGTTATTGGTTTGGACAGTTGAATGATAATTTCTCGAAACTTCTTTCGTTTTATATAGTAGACGAAAAGTGAAAAATATCAATTTGAGAATATCTAAAATACTAATCGAGTGAGAATAAGGAACGAGTAGGACACAAAATAAACGGTAGTTAAGATAAAATCGAGTAGAAAAAGCAGAAAAAGTTCATCTTGATAATTTTCTAATGATTTGAAAACTTGTACCAAGCAACCAAGGTTCAATTCTACTGACTTTGTAATTACTTTGGTAATAGAATTGTAAATAATTAATATTCATCAAGTGGCTTGAGTTGAAAATAACTAAATCCATTTTGGATTGGCCAAGTTAATTGACGAAAAAAATAGACAAATATAAAGTTTCTATTCGAAGCAATTTAAGGATTTTATGACTTTAAATAGATTTTATCAATTGTTCACCAATAATTTTGGTATCAACTTGATCCGTGTGATAAGAAATAATAACACAAATTTAATTTGAATTCACAGGTAAAGTTAATTAGTAAATTAAATTTTATCAGGAGCGAAAAAAGTTCATATTCATGGTCTTTTGTAAGCTCCATCTGTTGATGGAACTACGAAGCGAACTTTTTGTTTAGTGGTAAATTCAACTATCGAATTTCAATTCAATTTGTATTAATACATCAACTAATCTGATGGTTTGATTGAATGATCGTCTTATTATTGATTAAGATGATCAATCATTGATGAAATCAAAAGCTTTGGTAAATGATTAATTAGTATAATTAACTCTAAACAATTGTATGCATTCAAGAGAAAATTTAATTTACTTGAATCAAACGTACAACTCTAATTGTCGTTTTGAGAATTTTGATTGTATTAAGTAAAGAAAAGAAAGGAAACAATCAAATGATAATTGGAGGAGAAAGATTGGTTAATTTTAATAATCATTAGATTGGAATAAGAATTTGATTCAGAGTTTCTTGGCTTCTCTCTGGGGTTTTCGGGTTTTGAGCGTCTTTAGCTGGTTTCAGGTGACGATTTGTTGAATTTCTGGGCTCTATTGGAACTAGTTCCAGACCTTTAATATCTGAATGACTAAGAACTTTTAACTCTAAACAGCTCCAACGATATTCAATCCAGTCGAATTGGCCGAAGTTCAGAAAGTTTGCATGAATAAGTCATCAGTCAATTGATCGTTTCTCATGAAAGTTTCTAAAATCAAATGAGATGAACTGTGTTGTTCATATTGTTGAATGTTATTTGTTATTGTTATTAAATATTGTTGACAAAAACTGTTTATTCTTTTCTAGTAAAAAGAAATCGGCTAAATTGACCACCGAAGACTAAAAACAAATTAAAGAAATTCTGTTTCTTTAGATTCTAATTTGGTTTTACTTAATATTCTCACCAACAGATGGAACTTTTGTTCATCTGTTTGCCTTTAGTGTTCATTTGGTTCATTTGGTGAAAGTCAAGGAAAGTCACTGATTGTTTGTGTTTATTAACTAATTGGAACAATTAACCTAATCAACCATGTCTGCCATAGATCCACCACTGAGAACTCCTTTCAACGTTTCACCCTTTATTCGAGTAAGTTGTCTAGAAAATGTCCAATTAGATTTGTAAATAATCAATTGATGACTGTGTTCATCTTCATGTTTTGCTATTATTCATTTACAGTTCAGCCGATGGGCCCTTCTAATTTCCGGTGTTGCATGGGGAATCCATCGTCAAAAGGTCAATTCCAAGACTGAAAATGATTACAGAGAATTCATCGATAAAATGAAACCAATTTGGATGGAAAATAAAAAGAGAATTAAAGCAGAAATGACAAGAGGTAAATTTCCAACATTAATCTATATTCATCTTCATCATTTCCATTGTAAATTGGTTGTTCAATGCTTACATTTTCATCACATCCAAGTAAAAATCTATTGTTCAAGATTCTCATCTTAAATTGATGAATAGTTAATATATCAAAGAGTATGAATTCATCATACATTCTCATGCTACTCCAGTGAAGTATCAACCAACCAAAAGAATTGAACAATCCAATTTCAATCAGAATACCACGAGAGTTCATGTTCACTTTTTAATTCATTTTTCTTTTACTTCACTTCTACAGAGGAACTCGTGGGTCTTGCTGGCGCAATCAATATTCCCGTTCCAGCTGATTTCGATAAACAGTATCCAAGTAGCAAGGATAAGGCTCCAATTGATCCAGAGGTTTTGTCTGATGTCGCTCTGGCTGCTTACAAGAAAGGAAAGGGACAAGAGATCCTGAAAAAAGCTGAATCAGTTAAATTTTAAAAAGTTAATCTTTTTTTGTTCACTCGAAGTGTTAGTTTTGTCCGTTCATTAAGAATTGTATAGAAATTAATAAAAAGATAAGATGAAAATCAACATAATAATAAAATGAAAAGAGACACAATGTAAATTTTCAGTTGTTATTAACCGTTTAGTTTAATTGAATAGCCAAAAAGTAAATAGATTATATAATTCCGATCTTATTTGCTACATCCAATGCATCATAATCGGGACCTAATCTTACATAAGCTTTCTTTTGACCATCAGGTTGGATCATTGTGTTAACTTTAGCGACACCGATGTCGTACAATTTCTTGACGGCTGTCTTAACTTGTGGCTTATTAGCTTTAATGTCTACGATGAAAACAAGAGTGTTGTGGTCTTCAATTTTCTTCATGGCTGATTCAGTAGTCAATGGATGCTTGATGGTGGAGAATTTGTCCAATCTAGGTCTCTTGTGTACACTTTTCCTAACGTATTTAGGGTTCCTTGGGAGATGCTTAACGTAAGGTCGGTGGAAATGGACACTTGTTCTGATCTTCCTTGCTCGTTTAGTGTAAACACCCTTGGTAACCTTCTTGGCTGTCTTTAATGCCTTAGCCTTAGCTTTGATTTTAGCTGAAGCAGCAGCAGCGGCCGATTTAGACTTTGAGACTGTCTTTCCTTTAGATGGTTGTTTTCCTTTACCTGCAGGTTTAACAGCGGACTTGGTCTTGGTAGCAGCTTTACCTTTACCTTGGGCTGGAGCTTTACTCTTGGTTGCAGCACCCTTGGCAGGGTTTACCAGTGGTAGTCTTAGCAGCAGGCTTGGTTCCTGGTTTGGGTTTAACACCAGTGGCCTTAGCTGGTGCTGCTTTCTTGGCCGGTGCAGCTTTTTTCGCTGGTTGGGCTGGTTTAGATCCAGAAGCCTTGGCAGCGGCAGGTTTAGCGGCACCAGCAGCAGATTTAGGTGCTGTTGATGATTTCGATGGTCCAGCAGCACTTTTACCTGGTTGAGCTTTAGATGAACCCGCTGAAGATTTAGCAGCATCACCACCACCGGCCTTAGGTTGTTCCTTCTTGGCTGCAGGTTTTGATTTAGCCTCTGGAGCTGGTGTCTTTTTGGGAGGCATTTTAATTAAATTAATTAAACACTAGTAACAAACGAAAAAATTATAATTCAATTAATTAAATTGATAAAATTAACACTACGAAAAAACTTACAAAACACCAAACAAAATGATGTTGTTTCAGAAAAACAAGAAAGTTGAATCTTCTTGTACGAAATCTTCCGTTTCCGCAAGGTCGTCATGACAACGAGAACATTTTCTATTCTCAAAGCGCCAATTTGAAATGTTTACTTTCTTTTCCAAGCAACAAATTGATTCTCTGTCATTCAAGTAACACAACACACGTTTCTCATTTAAATTAAAATCACTTAATTGTAAAACAATGGACCTGACAAGGAAACGACCTTTTCTACAACCCTGAGTAACTACAAATCTCAATGCGCTAAATGGTTAAACAAAATGAAGAAATCGAAAGAAGAAAAATTGAATGATTTGACTAGTCCAAAATTCAAATTATCATTTAATCATCTGTAAGTATTGAAATTGAACCTTTGTTTACTTTTGGTTTTCATTGGTTTTTTCTTAATTGTTTTAATTTAATTTTCTTCTTCTTTACTTTTCTTAGTTTCCCTAAGCCTGAAGACTCACCTGAAACACGTGAAGAGAAATTTGAAGCTCTTGCTAACACTTGGAGGCCTGGAATTGATTTGATCGCCTTAACCAGAGGTCCTTTAATCACCATGAGTGTGGCTTCATTTACACAATTACCTTTTCTATTTGCTGTTCGTAAATATTTAAAGGTAATTTCATTCAATAAATTTATGGCTGTTACATCTTCGGTCGCAATGGCCGCTGGTGCATCTTTTTTGATCACAAATCAACAACTAGACACAATTATCCGAGGTGAAGTTAATTGTGCCGAATGTCACCTCATAAGAACCGGTGCTTATCAATTCCTTTTCAGTTCGGCTTTTCCTTCATCCGGTGCCATCTTTATTTCCATTCTAAGTGCCCTTAACAATCCCGGTATCACTCTTCCAATCGATGTTCTAGATCGATGGGCATCAACCAAAGAAGGAATCAAAATAGTGAGCAGATCACTTTTCAAGCGAAATCTTCTCCTAGGATTTGCTGCTTTATCGATTTTAAATATCTCCACCGGAATCGCAGTTATTTACTTTGCAATGAAACAATATCACGATGTTCATGTTGCCTTATTAGCAGAAAATTCCCAAAAAATAGTAATCTAATTTGAAATTGCAACAAACAAAATTCACAACCCAAATCTCGTTAAAAAAACGACTGTATAGATGTTTAGGTCATTTAAATTAAATTGTATTTGTTTGCAGCAAAATTGAAAATTTGCTGTTTGCAAAACCAAATTAGCAAACTAAATTGTTTTCTAATGAAAAAGCAATAACAAATCAGTTGATTGTTACCCAACGGATGAGAGGAATACTCAAGGATAATGAAAAATATCAAGGATCGATAAAGGTGCTGGTTAATCAATTGGAATTCAAAAAATGTCAAAATTAAAAGGTAACGATTAAGTTAATTGTTAACCAATGGAACCAATGGATTTTCTGTTTTCCAAAATCAAATGTGTTTATGGTGAAAAAGGAACACGAGTTACAATCGTTAATTATAATGAGAACCAGATGCTGGACCAGCTTCCAAAAAGATGATCTATTCACTTTCTTTTCTCTTTCTTCTCTTTCTTTCTTCTGCTCCTGTGGACACTCGAGCAGATGTTAGAACATCTTAAACTCGACTCGTTCCACCGACATCTGGATAACCACCCACCCTCTTCATCTCTTCATCTTCTCTCCTCCTTTGCCTTCTCTTTCTCTTCTTTCTTTTTCTTTCTCTCTGAAGTTTTGAGCGAGTGCCACATCCATATGTTAGAAGAAGATAAAGGAAGGAAGTGAGAGAGAGAGAGAGAGAGAAAGAAAGAAAGAAGAAAGAGAAGAAAGAGAGCAAACGCGCGAGAGCGATTTAATTCTCTCTTCCGTTTACCTAAAAATCTTCATCATTGCTCAAGTTTCTTTCGTTTAGGTTTGTCTTTGGATTTGTTCATCATTAAAGATGAACGAAGATTCATCAACTTTTGTGATCAGTGTTAATCAGAAATATGGTCAATGTGAATTCGAGGATATCAGTGATTGTGAAGAAAACGATGAAATCGAAAGTGACAATGACGATGAGAACATTTTGGATAAAACAAATGACGCTTTATTGGAATTACAAGTTTTCATTATTGGATTTCAATTATGTGCCAATGAAACAATCAACTATCTAATTAACGATGAAGGTCTAACACCTGATGATCCGATTGTTGTAAAATTAAGTGAACACCTTCAACTACAACAAGAAATGATCACATCTTCATATCTCAACTATATTTTATCTTCTTGTTACTCCTGAATCCCCGTTGACTATGAATAAAGTTTTCATGTAAAAAACCAATTCAATCATTGATTTCATTTAATTTCTCATATTACAAATTTTATTTCAAAGTTTTCTCCTTTGCTGGATAAATAACGTGTATTCGGCTATTCCTACGAAAAGAATTTTCTATTTTCACAGCTCATTTTCTATTCTCCGGCTTTTAGATTGTCAATGTTTTCCTTTCAGTTGATTGTGTTCCTTTTCATCCAGATTAATTCGGTTAAACAATTAACATTTTGACTCTCAAACTAATTAATTACCATCATCTAAGTTTATTCTATTTGAATCGTAAATCAGTTTGTCTTGTTTTCTGTTCTCAATAAGAAGTGAGTCCAAAAATGCCAACTATTATTCTACTTGATGTTTCTCTCAATGTGTAAAACTGTGGTTCTTCAAGACACTAATGAAATTCAATCGATTAAAAGTTTGGCCATTCAGGGTCTTAATCAACTACTGGATTACATATCTGCCAATTGTCGCCTTGAGTTGATCTCTTTGATGTTATATTCTTCTATGGAACGGAGTCTATCTTTACTCGTGACTATGATGCCATTAGAACAGCTCTTAATTATTTGGACGAGGTTTACGATAAAACAAATACAATTAACGCTTTAAGAGGTGTTCAAGATCTGGTCCATGAAGAATGGGGAAGTAACGTTCCATGTAATATTATATTGGTAACCGATGGTAGTCCAGGTATCTCGTCCTATTCAGAGGCAGAAAATTTCGAGAAATGTTTGTTTAAATTTAATTTTCCTGCTAAGCTTCACATCGTTAGCTTATCCTCACCTAATGAGCCTTTTGCTCAACAAAGAGTCGCCTATTATAAGAAGATTTTGGAAGTCCTAATGTCCGATTCAAAGGTTGACATCAGTAAGTATTAGCAAATCTTTGGATTACTCTCAATTATTTCATGCATCTTAATCATCTCCATTTCATTTGATTCTATTCTAGATAATCATCTATTGATGCCAGAGACAATGTCGTTAAAAAGTATTCAAAAGATTTTCCAATATCTTGGTGAAACCAATTATACTCCTTATCGTGGTCGTTTACATTGTGGAAGTCTAAATGGCCCGATCATGTTGTTCCCAACCTTAGAGGGTTACACACAAAAAAATGATTTCGAGACAATCAAAATTGAACCATCAAGTGATATAACAGTTTGTGGCTTCATGAATATCAATGAAGTCTCAAGTCCACCAGTTCACAGTCGACATTTAATGTTCAGTACACCATTGACCAAAGATGATCTTCAACGTTTCCATTCAATTACAACTGTTAAAACCGCTTCAGATTTTGATCTTAATCCATCGACTACTTTTGATTTGGAAGAAGCTTTAAACACGATATTACTTGATGAAAGTAAACAACCATCTCTTTGTGTTCTACTTCATGGTGCCCTAAAGTTGAAGGAATGGTCGCTATTTGTCGACTTGCTGTTAATTGGTACGGGATGATTTACTCTTGGGCAGATAGTAAAAAGAAATCAAGTCTCATGTTTTCAACATTTAATGCTGGTTTAGACTGTGTTTCTTGGCTCGGTAATTTATCCATGTTGGGATTTCCACAATTAAGCCCCAAGGGAGCTGTCCAAGAGCCAGGAAAAAGCAATGAAAGGAAAAGTTACTCTTCTTCTTGTGTTGTATGGATAAAACAATCCAACCTCCAATCAGATATTCAAAAGGTTCTAAGATTAGCGAAAAATTACCTGAAAAACACCCAACTTTTACAAAGAATTGAATAGATTCCGAAAAGCTGCTCTGGTCTCGGGTTTCTATGAGATTATTGATGGAATGGCGGCCATATTGGAAAGAGAATGCACCTTGTTACCTGGTGGATCTAATCCAGAAGCTGCCCTACAATTAACTCATGCAGCTCAAGCACTAAGAACCCACAAAGAACCAAATTCATATGATTCTGTGATAACACCAATGAAATCAAGATTCACTTCTTAATTGTAAAACAAATCAACAAAAAGTCAACCTGCCACAAAGTTCATTGATCATTTCTATCCTCTTATAACTTCATCATCCTTTTCTCATTTCATAATAAATTTCAAATATTATTAATTGACATCATTTATATAAAATACTATCGATTTCTCAAATCCATCATCCCTTTAAAATTTATAATATAAATTATTTTTGTAATTAGATAATTAAATGAAATCAGTGGATCATTTTTTGTATGATAACTTTATTCATCGTCAGCAGGAATTCAGGAGTAACAGAAAGATAATGTATTATTATCATTAGATTCATTCATCATCATAAGAAATAAAATTGATTTTAACTCTTTTTTTTTCTTTGTCAAAATCAAAACAAGATCGAAATGTGAGAGAGAAGAGAGAGAGAGAGGGAGGGAGGGAGGGAGATCATTCCATCAATGATAATAGTTACAATTAGATGATGAAAATGCGAATCACAATTAAATGAGGACAGAATTACCGAAATGAAATATCAGAAATGAACTGACTAGAACTGAGATGAAACGATAAACAGAAAAGGTTAACAATTTATAAATTGTATAAAGAATTACGATCAACATAAAACAATTAATAAGAGAAATTAAATTAAATTAAAAGTGTGATGATTCTGAAGAATAGAAAATATCATGTTGGGAATGAGAATTGAGGAATTTTCCAGTTAACTGTTATTCCAGAATAAAAGAGGAAAAGAAAGAGAAAAAAAAATTAAGTTAATTAATAATCTCTGGAGGTGCTATTGAGTATCCAATTAATTAAGTAAAGTTGATTGTTAACCAACAATTAACTTAATTGTTTGCTTGCTTTCCTTTTGCTATACTCAATCATACAGGTAAATATACATTAGAGTACAATAGCAATAGTACAATGATACAGAATCATGATAATAGTTAATTATTAATAATAATTAATAGTTAATAATAAAAAGCAATAATAGTAATAGTGATTAGTTGAATTAAAACTAATTTTTCGTGAAATTTTGCTTCATTTTTGTTTATAATTAAATTTTAATTTCTTTCTCATTTAAGTAATCTTGCTTTTCTGTTTCCCAGTGTATCAGTTATTAATCATATCATTATTTAGTAATAATTGATAATTAATTAATGGTAATTAAATATATTTATATTAACCACTATGATCACCATTACTATTATCGTAATTATTATTATTATTTATATATAATTTTCTGGTTTCCATTGATAATCGAGTTGAAATTATCTCAATATCTTCACATTGGTAAACTCATTTGTTTTTACTCTTCCAATTAACTGTTAACACTTAATTGTTATTATGTAAGTCTTGATGATGATGATTTTAGGATGATGATGGTTATGGTGATGATGATGATTCAATTTTATCATCTTATATTTCCGGTGATTTCCTGTTTAAATCTAATCGTGTCGTCTTCAGGTTGCTTTGGTGAATCGTGTATACATAATGTATATAAGTCTATGGTGAATATAATGGTTTGTGTTAATTGTTGTTAAATTGTGACGAAGGTGAAAAAAAAAGGAGAGAAAACAATTTTGTCCAATTTTAGTTGTTAATTGTTAAATTAAATAGATGAAGAGATTATTAGGATTGAAGAGAGATCATTAAATTGCTTATTTCTGGTTAATAAATTGTCGATGATGATGAAGATTGTTGTTAATCAATGATCCATAAAGATGAGGATAAAGATTTGAGCAGCTCAATGGTAAATACATGGAGATGTAGAGAAGATGATTAAGAGAGTAATTAACACAATTAAATTCAATTAGAATTTTATAAATTTGAATATAATTTGTATCTATTTATAACTTATATTATTTTCTATAACACATAGAAATCATTTTCTCTGATCCTTTTTCATTGGATTATCCAATTGTGTTTATCTGGTTAAGAATCGGGTTAATTGTTAAGTTGCACAAATGATCATTGGATCAAATTTAGTATTACATTTATATTACATTGCAAATTGTATCAAATACATGGTGATGGTGATGGTCATTTAATTTTCCAATAGATCAGCTCAGAATGGAGAAGAAATTAAATCAAATTGTCACTTTAATCGTTAATTGTTGTCATCGAGTTTGTATAAAGTTAAACAGCTTCGATCTCCTTTTACAATTCATCTAATAGATTAACACTCGTAGAGATGATTAAATTCATCAAATCATATTAACCCTTTTGTTTACCGTTAATCTTAATCGTCTTCATTTGTAAGATACTATTCCAGAAATTAGTGTGTAGAAAATGAAATTAAATCGAACAATTAACAATTAAAGTAAAATAAAAACGAGACCAGAATCAGTTGCACTTTGAAAGAAATGAATATGAACTTTTTTTTGGGTTAAAAAAAAAGAAACAAAGTTAATTTTGATTAACAGTTTTGTTTGTTGTTGTTGTTAATCAGCTGAGAAAATTGTAGTAAGATGATTGTAAAAATGAAGATGATGAGATGATTAAGTTAATTGCGCAGGTAAATTTAAGTTGACTTAAAGATTTGCTGGTTTATTATGTGCATGAAGATGTTGTTGATGTGACAACTCCTAAAGTAACAACTGATGTTGGTTGACCGATCAGTTGACCTTTAATTACAACAGAGTTTCCAGTTGAATTTGCTCCATTTGACCCACCGCCACCTCCACCACCACCTCTGGACGATGAGCTTGTACCACTTGGTCCACCGATATGATGGGAGGCTGATGAGGCAGGAGAGTTGGAGGCTGAATTGATTGGTGACGAGGCCTTTGAAATGTCCGATGCATCGTCCATCCATTTATCTTGTGACCTACGACGGGCATTCATGAAAAAATTGCCCACCGTCGATAAATCAAGACCTAATTGTTGTGAAATTGTTATTTGCATCTCCTTTGAAGGTCGCTTTGTTTCCTTAAAAATGGCCTGAAGGGTTCGTCGTTGAAGATCAGTGAACACAAGTCGTGGCTTCTTAGGTGCCGATGCTTGTTTATTACTTGTCACCGAGTTACTATTGGTACTGGTGTTATTGTTATTATTATTATTATTATTATTGGTGTTATTATTGTTATTGTTGGTGTTGGTTGAGGTCATGTTACTGGTCGGTTCATCTTTACGTTTACATGCTGCTCGATTGTATCAACAATTTAAAGTTAAATACCATTGAGAGTCAACAATCAAGTGAAAATACAGCAAAAGGTAACATGAAGTAAAGTGATTAAGTTGATTGAATAGGTTTTGTTGTTATTGTAATTTTAATTGTCGAGAGTGGGTGATGATTTGTAGTCGTTGTGGTGGTGACAATTGTTGATATTATCATTGTTATATATTAATAATAATGGTGATGATTGTTTATTTATTTTCCAATGTCCAAAGAATAGGAGTTGACCAGAGGAAAAAGAAAAAGAGAAAAAAAAGAAAAGAAAAGTAATTAAGTAAATTGGTTAATTAAATTGTATAGACTATTTAATAGATATAAATATAGATATTTAATTTTAAATCTAATATTTAGATTACAATTGAAATATTAATAGGAAAATAAAGGTTAATCCAAATGGATTGAAGTTAATCCAATCCCTTGAATTTACTAACAGAAATCAAATCAAAATTGTTAATCTATTAATATTATTATCCCATGTAACCAATTTAAAGGTTAATTGTCTCATATTAACAGTGAATTGTTATTGTTATTGAATAAGAACGAGGTGATTAAAGTAACTCCTCGAGATGGTTGATCCTCGGATGGATTAAAGTCCATCAAATGATCATTAATTGTGAATGAAATGATGAACTGAATTCGATGATAATTAGAATAGCATGACAGAACCAATAAAAAAGCTACTCAGCTTCATAATGAAAGAAAATCATGCAATATCTTCAACATGATAATCTTCATGATTCCAGAATATCTTCATCTTGTGGTTGTTATTTTTTCTTCATTTATTTAATGATCTTTAAGGAAAACACAGAGAATAGGAAAAAAAAAAGTTCTATTCTTAATTCGATAATTTAATCATCTTATTCTTCCTTATGATTCTATCGGAACTTTTCCCTGAAAACTGATTGTTTATATTCATCATCATGTGAATATCATCTTGAGACAAGAATCTTAAATCTCGTGATGATCATCAACGATATCGAAATATATAAAAAGAGAAACAATTAACTCCAACTGACTTATGATTTCAGTTAACAAGCTGAACAGTTTAATTTATTCATGGACAACAATCAACAATCAACAATCATCATTATGATATCATATTAATAGATTAACATATTGATTTAACATCTTCTGTGTTCAGAGAATTGAATAAAAGAGCAAAATTGATCAATAATCATGATTATTATTAAATTCTGATGATTGATGTTGATAAACAATAATAACGATTAACTTAATCATGAACAATCAGCAGAAACAATTGTTTGATTAACTTTCAATGTCCAGGAAAAAAAAAACTATAACTATTAACTTTTTATTTGTATCATTTTATTTAAATCAACAATTTATTTTCATTAACTATTAGTTATTGTTATTTATAATAATCTGATTGTTGGAATACTAAATCATTCAATAAAATCAATTTCTAATCAACGATTATCATATTTACTTAATTGTATCATTAGATAAGCTTGAGTTATGTTAATTGTTACAGAAATAATCATGATACAAACTAATAGATTAACTAATTGTGACAAATTATATATTTTTCTTGCCAAAGAACCACAATTTATATCAATTGTTTCCTTGATTATCGTAATTATAATTATGATTACTTGATTATTCAGGTTCTCCACCCATTTAGTCATCAAATTAAATTTGATTTGCTGTTAATCCAATTCACAAAATCCAACAATCAATGTTAATTGGGCGGTTTTCAAGTGAAATTGTGTCAAAAAATTTACTAATCACAAATTCAACCATTAACATTGACCTTAATTATCAAGTAAAGAAACACAATTAACATTAATTATTGATGAACACTTTTTAATCCGATCAAAAATCCCAAAGAATCAGCAAGCAAATCAAATGAAACTTGTTAACAATCACTCGTAAAAGTTAATTGTTGTAATTAACTTAGGAAATACAAGTGACGATAATGATTATAAAATCAGAAAAGTAATCAAATTTTTCCCAACTGGATTTAGACTGTTAATCAAAGACAATTGTTTTCATCTGATTGTTAACCAATCGCAAAGGAAGATGATTAAGATGATGATCAAACCATTATCATTATCTTAATCATGATTAAACTCTTGATCAATTTGAGAGCTAAGAAAAAAAATAATAAGTATTAACCTTATTAAGCCAATCAAGTTTCATATTTTTACCTTAAATCATTATGGTTGAAATGAGCTGATTCAGAGTGAACATAATTTACCCTCCGGGTAAAAACAAAACAAAATCATTTCTATAACAATAATAGTAATGATTAACCGTAGAATAAAAAATCAACCAGAATTCATGATATTAATGATAACCTTGATGAGAGAAACAAAATATGAAAGCTAACCTTAAATTGTCATAGAAAATATATAATAACAACATGGACAAAATTTCACTTGGAAAAGAAATTCATTCAAAATTCAAATGAGAATAAGATAGAGAAAAGAAAACAATTAATCTAATTTAACCTGATACAATTTGATAAAATAACAATTAACAATAAAAAAGAATATAAAATTCAGGTAAATAACAACAATGGAGAGAATTGTGATCAAGTTTATCATTTAAATTACTTTTTGTCACTGAAAACATTGAATCTCCATAGAAACCAGTGAAATAGTAATAACCATAAATGATAATAATAACACAGGTAAGAGAGAGAGAGAGAGAGAGAGAGAGAGAGTTACTCAAAAATTCAGGTAAATTGTCCATAGGAAGATGTTGATTGTGTTAAAAGTCACACTATCAGCTTATTACTATCATTACGATGATAGTTATCATTATTATTGAAATTAGTTTCTACTATTATTGAAAATTTCATGTAGATATTGTTTTCTTTTTTTCTCTCTCCATGGATTTTATTTCCAGTGACTTGATCTTATCAGCACCATTAAGAAATGATGATAATGATGATGATTGTGAATCTTTTTCTTTTACCTTGATTTTTTTTATTATTTGGTTGATAAAATTTCGAGTTAGAACTTTTTTTTTATTTCTTTTCCTCTCCAACTTACTTCATTACTCTTCATCATCTTTTCTTCAATGAATAACATGAAATCTTTGAAATGATACCATGAAATTCAGTTTATAACCTCTTGTGCTGTCATGTAAGAAGTAAATTGTTGACAAAAACATGATCATCATGAGGATGAAGATGAAGATGAAAAAGACAAATGAAAAACAAGTGAAATTTTCTTTTTCTTTCACAAAAATCTAAAATTTAGCTCAATGAAAATTCACCTTGAAATAATTCAGAGATTCCAACAAGATGATCAATCACTTTAATTGACTTTCCAAACAGAATCATAATCAGATCACTAATCAACTAGATACACACATTCATATCGCCAAATGATGTCACAAACGATAAACAATATTAACGGTACCATTTTTGTACTCTGATAATTGTCATGAAAAGTGTGACAATCTTGGAACCAGATTAGATGAACAGTTATCGTTAAGAAAATCTGTTAACCTGAACTGATAAGTTGAATAAGATCAAGGTAATCAATCAAATAAACGAAAAAAACTTGATAATATTCACAGACACTTTCATCTTCAGAGACTTTATATCCTACAATTACATCTTCATCTTCATCTTTATCTTCCTGCATCCTCAAGTCTCTCTCAAGCAATGATGATGATGACGATAACTGAAAGATCCTCTAACAACAAGTACCATTTAAAGAGCTAATCTTTCAATTTGTATCTTGCATGTTTTTCTCACTTTTTACTTGAGAATCTTCTTCATCTTGATCATCACCTTAATCATCATCATCAGTTTGCATCTTCCGCAGATATTTCTGATTTCAGTTCCAAAGTGATGGCAACATGTTGACTGGTCCATCGAGAAAGTAAAAGTTTCCAACCTTTCAAGACTTTGAATAGCATCCAACATCCAACATCCAACATCTTCTTACCTCTTATCATCATTTCCATCATCATCTCACCAATGATGATGTTTTGATTGTCTCACAACAAAAGTTCACTAGCGATTCAGAAGATGAAGAAAGAGAGCAAAAAAAAATCAAACCTTTTAGCATCTTCCAAACATCATGCAACATCTGTTTGAACCTCATCTTCATCCTCATCCATTCATACCCACTACCATCATCATCATCATCATCAACCAATACCCTGCATATGCAACATCTTACTGATTCAATAACATTTTACTCAAATTTTCCAGCATCAGTTTCCTTTCCTTTTCCGGTTATCCTTGCACTTCCTCCTTCATAGTATTAAACATTAACTTAATTTTGTTTCTAGTTTACTTAAATGTAATACTGATAATTAATTGTTTCACTCTTTCTCAGCTGATTGTTTTGTTTAATTACCCTTTAATTTCAAATGTATTAAAGTAAATTGATCGCTGGTGCAACAATTATAAAAAGTAAACCATCAAAATCATCTTATGCTTTTTAATTGTAATCAAAAAAAAGATACTCATTCAAATGATTAATGATTTAATTTTTTGTTCAATTCTCAAGCTAACACGTATCTTATTAAATCACCAATTGACTCTGACAATTAAAATCTTTCATCCTCATCAATGATTAACACAGATAAAAAGACATCGTGACAAAATAAAGCACATTTACAAATAACAATTACAATTAATTTACAATTTGAAAGGAACAACAATTAAAGTAAAGCTTTCAAACCAACATACCAATGAGGATAAATATGATTCTGATGATGAACACAAGAAAAACAAACTCACTCACACCAAAATCTAATTACAATCATCATCATCATCATCATCATCATCATCATTATCATTATCATGATTTACCAATAGAAATGAAATAAAAAAAACTTATCAACACTTGAAACAAAAACAAAACAACTCAAGTTAACACGCATTGTAAATATCAATTTGATCATCTTCATCTCGAGATGAAGATGAGAGCTCATTGTGACCCCTTTTTGACACATCTTTTTCTGTCATCCTCATCCTCATCCTCATCCTTTCATCATCTTCATCTCCCTATACAAAAAGGAGGAAACCGTTGACTTGCCTGTTTCACACCTCATTAAGCCATTAAATTGGCTTGCTGAATAAACTTTATTTTATTATTTTATCCCATTGCAACATTTAATGAACAACAACAACACTGTAACTATCAGCATGATGATGATGATGATGATAATCATGGTGATGAAGTTGAAACTTTACAATTCAGCGTCAATTCAACTCTTTTTTTTTCTATGTGTGTGTTATCATGAAAATGAGTCTTAAATCTCATCAATTGTTGAGATTGAGAAAAAAAAAGTTTCTTTCACAAAGAAAACTGTAAAAATGTTATTTTTATTTATTATCATCTTCATCACCATGTGAATACATGATGATGAGAAGAGGATGAAGATAAAGATAAAGATGATCATCAGGATGTGGTAGATAATGAGACTTTAGTGTAATTCAATTGATTCATTTTTTTTTTCTTCTTCTTTTTTTCTTCTTATATTATTGTCACTTTAATATTCACAACATTTAATGTTGATAATGATAAAAAATAATGATCATCATCATAAGAAGTGTCATCATCATCTCAATGATTGACAATTTTGTTGATTTAGTTTCATTGATATGAATGGGGAACAACAATCAACAATTTTATACCTTTTTTTTTTATTCCATTAAAAAGGAGTAAGAATAATAGATTAAGTGATTCTGATAAGAAATTGATGAGGAAAATAAAGTCTATCATCATGTTCCCCATGATGATGATGATGATGATGAAAAATCACTTCAATTCGTATTCATCTTTGTTTACAGAAGATGAAGATGACAAAAAACAAAGAGAAACAGTAATATTGAGATGAGAAAAAATCAGAATCCTGAATCAGAATTTCCTTGGTGTTGGATTGATAAATTACCATTGAAGATGAACAAGTGAATGGATGTTGATGATTATCATCATCATCTTCATCCGAACAGTGGTCATCTTGTTTACGGTTCTTGATTGAAAGTCTCCTTCTCTATTCAACTGACCAACTAATTTCTATTCTATTAATAGTTATGAGTTTATTGTTTTTTCTCCTTCATCTTTTCGCCTCACCTTTTTCATCATCGCTCTTTTGTTTCTCTCTCATTGAAAGATGATGATTGTGATGATAATATTGTCCACTTTTTGTCGTTGTTATTGTCCGGAAAATAACATCTCTCAACAATCAACATCATCAAAAGCTTCAACTGGATTTATGTCAATGATGTAACAATAATGTATTGGAAGGTCAAGTTAACAATTGTTGGAAACAAAGTCAAGTAACAATCAACTGATTATTGTTAACTATCATTTTGTCACATTCAGTTAATCATCATAATTAAAAGGATAATGATACATGTTATTAGATTGAAACAGTTTGATTAGATTGATTTACATGAATCAATAAGATTTGTGACAATCAAACATATGAATTGAATTACCTTTTGATTTTTACGTTTCTTTTTTTTCACTTTTCTTTCAAATCAGTTAACTTGTATTGTCACTGATTGTCACTGATTGTTGTAAATGGATTAAGATAATAACATTGTCACTATTTCCTCATGAGAGTTAAATTGTTCAGAAATTGACAGAGTTGGTTAACTGAGAATGATACAAATTGTTAGTGGTTAGAAATCAGTAGATAGATTAAATTGATCTTAATCGATAGATGATAAGAAAACAATTAATCTTTGACAATTTAATGTTCATTTTTTTTTCACTTGATTCGATTAAATTTTCAATCTAATGTGATATTTAAACTCGATAATGATGATGATTAACTGAAGATTTGATTCTAATTGTTGGCATGATGATTGGATAGGAGAAAGAGGAGATTTTTCTGCTGACTTCTCAACAATTAGCAGAATTGAAAATTAATTTAGTTTAGTAAACTTGTTAATTGTTCTTATCCTCTTTGGATACAATCAATAGTTGAGATTCGATGGTCAACTAACTATAAGCGATATCCTAATGATCATTTATGTTTTCTTAATTGTAACTTTGTCCAATCTTTTTGTTTACTTTCTCAAATTGATGGTCAAGATGATGAGGATGAGGATGAAAAAAGAAGACAAAAAATTAGACTTGGAAGGATGGAGAACCGAGTCCCGTATAGTTGAGGATAAAATTAATTGGAAAATGATGAGGAACAATCAATAATATTAATCATTACGATCAACATTTTCACACTGTTTACATTGAACAAGACGCTCAAATCCATCATTAGGTTGATTCACAATTACGAGCTTCAAGTTGTGTCAACTAACCCTGAATTTCATGTGACAAACTCTGAAAACAAACTTTGAAAATTGTGTTAATTTTGAAGATATTTAACTTTCAATCCACAAATTAAGTTAATTGTAAATGTTCATTCATTATTTTAGGTCAAGTTTCAGGTAAATTATTCATTTAAATTGCTCAGAATCAACATATGAACTTGAATATTTGCTATGATAATCAATATGAACTTTTTCAAACAATTCAAAGTTTAGTGACCTCATTTTCATTAATAGTTGCTGATTATCTGCTAATTAAATTACCACCAAGCCAAGTTGAAAACATTATCTCATTTTCCATGAGTTAATTCATTCCATATGATGATGTATCATGTTGGTGGTTTTTTCCTTCATCACTTTATCCTCATCCCTGTAACTACTTCCCTTTATTTGTATTTGTATTTTTCTCAAAAAAATTTATAAAACTTGAAACCCATGAAAACAAAGAAACACGAAGTTCATGGTAACAGAATTGAAGCTTAGGTGTAAACAAGAAATATTCTGATTCCATCTACTAAGCTTTTCCTCTTTCACTTTCTTTATAATTTTCATTCTGACAACTATTGGTTATCAGTTTTTAAGTATCAACAACAACATCGATGATAACAAGAGTTGATGCATGTTTCCACTCCCTGTTAGTTACAATGCAACAGAACATGAACAAGAATCAAGTTCTGGCTTCCATTTCTTTCAATTCTTTGTACACTAATGGCTATTTCTTGCTTCCTTCAAAAGTAAACTATTAAAAAAATACATGAGGAGAGAGAGAGAGAGAATCTAGTGTGATGAAGAAGAGTCATTGAAGGTGGATAATACATGTAGTTGGTTGATGGAACAAGAGAGAGAGAGAGAGAAAAGGTTAACTCAAAATAGATCCTCTTCATTTTCCACCTCTCCTGTTTTCCACCATAGACTTTAACAGCTCTTTTTTTCTCAACCTTTTTTTCCCAACTTCGAATTTTTTTTCTTCCTCTTCATATCCTTTCAATTTGCTCCATGTTTAGTTGAATATACAAATTTGTCTCCTCGATACAGTTTGTTTTTCCACCGAGTGTATTTGTTGTATTTACTTTTAGTATATAATAAATACATGGAAGGAAAAGTTTAGTGTCGGCAAGGATTGTTTGTCAAAATGAGAATCCCAGGTAACTATGGTGATACATGCAAGTTATTAGTGTGAGAGAGAGAAGGAGGAGTATTCGTAAAGGTGATCGAGAATAAAGTTAAAATATAAATTCTCTCTTTCCTTTGTAATACTAATAACATTTCTTGGCTCTATTTCCATTCAACATTCATGATTGTCTGAGTTTCCAAGTTCCAGATTTGAACAACAGGCAAATCCACACTCAAAGGAATATAATAATTACTATTACATAGCCGAGGTGTTGTACTAAAAAAAATAAGGAGATTGAAAGAGAAAAGCTCCCGATGTTGTTTCAACAGGAAAATCCAATGTAAATTTAATTGAAGGTGTAGATTGAATGATGAGGTACCGCGATCTTTTAATAATGAACAGCAATGTACACAGATTGAGAGAGAGAGAGAGAGAAGGTTGTAAACAATAAACCACCAAAAACAAGAATGAAATTGAATGAGAGAGTAATCGTCTTCTTCTTCTTGATCATCCTTCTTCTCTCTCTCTCTCATCTTCCAAGACTAATGGTAAATTGTTTTCTTCTTCTTATTTTTCTTCTTTTTTCCTCCTTCTCTATCTATTTTTCTCTCCTTTGGTTTTTCCATTCTTTCTTCTTGGCTTGAATTCTACTGATTGTTTGCTTGGAATACGTTTATATTGTGTGAATGAGTGAGTATGTGTATCTAGAGGGATATTTGTGGTAACAATGTGTTGGTAACTTTTACATTACAATGTAATCAAAAGGAAATAACAGGTTCATCAATTATTCTTTGGCTGGAAACACAATCAAATTTCCTTTGGCTTTACATCATCATCAACATTCACCATGATAATGATGATGATTGAATGACCAACATCATGATTGCCAAGACACAGAAAATTGTTAACTATAAATACTATTATTATGCTTTATTACATAATAAGTATTTAAGTGAATATATTTTCCATTCACAAAATACTTGCAACAATCTTCAAGAGATTTTCTCACTAAATGAGTAAAACATAAACAAAGTAAATTAGTAAACAATTAATTCTGATACAGATTCAATCAGAATGTGATTAAAATGCAACTAATCAATCAGATGAAATGAAAGGATTAAAATGACAGAAATTGATGTAAGAATAGCAATCAACCAGTAATTTTGTTTTTCTTTTCTCATTTTGATTAATTGAAAATTTGTGTTTCTTTTTTGCTCCTTTATTTAAATTCTGTTAATTGTTTCGCTTTTCTAACGGAGTATTAAAGATTTTGATGCTTAATTGTTCAGGTTTATTGATGAATATCAATATATAATCATCGTTCTGCAAATAGTTTGTCAACTGAAATTCATTTGGTTGTTGTTCCTTGAATGGTAATTAAGTTAATGATTGTGATGATGGTGATTGTTTTAATCATTTTGATGATGATAGTTATGGGAAGATTAGATGATTCCCATTTTATCCGGTCAACATTGTAAACTTTAATTGTTCCCAAGTAACACAATTGAGATTGATAGTAAGTATATTAGATTAATCTACTCTTTATGTACCAATATTGTGATTCAACCACTAATTTCACAGCTCTGATTTTTTCTCCACCAACAAAATCAAAATGCTTTCTCACTAATCAACTAAACTTATTGTCTTCATTATCAATAAAATCCTTCCGATGAAAAGTATCTTATAGTAAGACTCTAATAGAATCTTTGTTTTTTTTTCATCTTCTTCTTTCATCTTCATTGCTTCTCATGTCGTATCCTGATTACCAAGTTAAATTTGCGAGGCCAAAGAGTCGATTCATCACTAGTTGATTGCTTTGTTCACTCTATTTTCTTATCGAGTCAAAAAGTAACCATTGGAAACAAGAACAACCCTCTAGTTTTGTATATTCTCATGGTGGACAAACAGTTAATGGAAAATTGAAGGATTGACCAATGGATAAGAAAGAATAATGATAAAGAAGAAACAACAACAACAAAAAGGAAACAAAAGAAAGAGGAAAAGAGAAAAGGTCAGACTTGAATATTGACCAATCAACTCAATTCGAATGACGAACTGAACTCTCCCCTTCTCTTCCATGACGACGTTATTTCCATCATTTCCGCTATTTATCTTCATTGTTGACCTTAATTCAACGGAATAGATAAACACCCTTGACCAATTCATCTTTAATCATACATATCTCATCATCTAATCAAATCTACTCTACATTATCCTTTCTCTATGTTTAGATGATGACAATATGAAGATACACCTAATCGGTGTAATTTTCCAAGTAACAACTTCCTTCCGTTTGATATGAAGAAAATAAGATGAAAAAAAATCGGAAAATGTGAAAAGTTGACAACTATTCTTGGTGACATGAAGAATAATCAAAAGATTGGCAACACAATCAAAGGAGATCACTAATTAAATTAAACTCTAATGGTAAGTAATCTACTTCTCTCTTGAAACTCCTCCATCTTTAAATGTGTCGAAACTGTTATTTTCTGTCTACTAAAGCAAAAATTTTCTCTTCCTCATCTTTTCAATTTAGAACCTTAAATTGATGAGCATCATTAAAGTTCATTTAGAGCGATTGGTTTCATCTATTCTTCATGCATCCACAAAAGTTAACATTGAAATAAAAAACTTCTTTCAAGAATATTAACTCAAATCAATTGTTTCCATAGACTCGAGTTAATTACTGGAATCACAGGCGAAAAGCTGGACAACCTTGATCGCCATCATATCTCATGTCTTTGTCAAATATTGAAGCTCATCACTTGAAATCTGATCAGAGTTTTTATCAACAGACCATCATGCAGATCAATTGATACCAAACTGATCAGATAGGAATGAATGAAATCCTCAAGTCGATAATGGGAATCGAAATAGACAATTCTTAAGATCTAAAGGCGACAGAAAGCGAGATGATGGTGTGAATATTCATGTCGATAATAATGTAACACCTTCTCCAGTTCGAATAGAATATTTTTCTTGTCATCAACTTGAGAGCAAAGGATTTTGATGACAGGGAATGAGAAGACACAATGGAAGATGAAAAACATCAACAGAAAAACAAAGTAACGAGAAAGAAAAGTAAACTGGCTAAATGAATGTGTTTCCTCTTAAAAGAAACATTTTCCGAATTAAATTGGCTAAATCAGTGGAAATTGTATTTCAATTGAAATTATAACTACTGATGAAGAGAATTTTTTTTTCTATTTTCTCCCAAACAAAACATTAAGAGAGAAAAAAACTTCTACTGGTAACGAAGTCGAAGTATTGTACAAAGGTGAAAGTGAATGAATGTTTTTCGAAATCCAAATGATTCTCCCTCAATTGCTTCTCCTAAATATCATGTAAGATTATCTTAATCGACTTGGATTTACCTCATCTTACCATCGTCACCATGATCATTATCATTCTCGAGGACATGATCAGTTTTTTTCCTCTCTTCTACCTCATCAACATCATCATTATCTTCACTGTTGAAAAACAACTAAAATACTCGATATGAAAAAGATACACTTTTAAGAACTAAAAAGTTGGATGATAAAAGAAGATGAAGATAAAAGTTATAAACAGTCAGTTCTCTTAATAAGTTATGTGTTACACTACTTTCAAAGATGACTTGTCATCCTCCCTCCTCATCACCATCACCATCATCTTCATGTTCCCCCTGAGGAGTGTTTATAACAAGCCTTTGCCTCTCTCTCTCTCTCTCTCTCTCTCTCTCTCTCCCAGTGTTCATTTCTTTATGTATAAAAAACGATGCGTAATGTGATAAATAGACAATTTAGATACTCTCACTTGCTAGATGATGAAACTCACTTTTTATCCCATCTCTTCATCTTCTTTTTGCATCTTTGTCATCATCATTTCTCCCACACAATCAACAATCAGAATCTTTTCATTTCCATCACTTTAACTTAACCACACAGTTAATATCGTTCACTATTAACGAGATTTTGTTCTCTTTCATTCTTCAACAGAAGCAACAAATATTAATATCAATGGAAAATAGGGCACACACATAACGGTAAACACTCCTCGTCCCTTATTCTCATCAAGTGACCTTGTCTCGAGACATCGAATTGACTGTGTACGTGTGGCTCGATCTAAACCTAACCACCGACATTGTCTGAGTCTCTATTGGAAGAATAATAGAGAAAGTAAAAGGATAAAGTAATAATCATGATGGAAAAAGAAGGAGGCAAAAAAAAGCGAACCAATAAAACGAGTCACAAGAAGATGAAGATGAGAAGAAGAAGAAGAAGAAGAAGAAAAAGTGTAATGATAAGTACATACACCGATTATCTCTTTTTCTACTGATTTCATTTCATTTCAAGTTTTAAAATCAATCAAGATTCTCAATCTAAATGAGCCTTCAAACCAACAATTTCTTCATCTCCCTTTCTCATTTTCATCACCATCTTCCTCTTTATCTTTATCTTCATCCTTCTTCTTATTTTCATCTTCATTTATTTTTTTCCCTTCTTTTCTATAAACACTTTCATCTATTCTGTGTCCTCATCATCATCATCATCATCTCATGAAATTAAGGATATCATGAAATTGAAAAGCAACCAAACTCACTGATAAACACTCACATTTATATTTATAATGATAACAAGAAGTAGGAAAAGATGAGGAGTAATGGCTCAAATGGAATGAAGAAAATGAGGAAGAGAGAGAGAGAGAGAGAGAGAGAGAGAGAGAGAGAGAGAGAGAGAGAGAGAGTATCAATTCCTAACTAACACATGAGAAAACATGAATTCCAAGGGAAAGATATTGGTTATCAATGACGATATTTTAAAGGAAAACAATCAACGGAGGAATGAAAAACCACCCGAGATAATAATAAACCATCATCATCACTATCAACAGTAATCAACAACCATCAGCCCAACAAAAGGATAAACAAGCAAAACAACAAGAGAAAAATATTTCTTGTTGATTGTTTGAAACATTTCCCCATCTCCATCACCACCAACACCGACAACAACATTACCCTCACATTAATAACATTATCCAATCTCGTTATTTAATCTTGACCTTTTTTCCCAGAACTTTAATACAGTTATCATTTAACTTTAATCAACAATTTCCTGCAACAATCTAAAAACAATCAACCACTAATGATAAACTTTTCTTACCCTTAATCATATAGGCTTTCTGATTGCTTAATTGTGATTTCCAATTCTTCCTGAGCGACTTATATCAAATCTATAGTTTGTTTTACCTTTAATTATAATCTAATCATATGTTCATATGTTGATCACAATTAAGTTAAATTGGCTTTAATAATAAGATGGCGATGTTTTCATATCATTTTAATTGTTAATTGTCCTATGAAAATAGTAATTATTGTTTCTGGTTAACATTTGATTGAAATTTTCATTTTGTTTTCATCAAAACTTTTAATGATTATTATTATTGTTGATAATTACTTTGTAATTGTCATCTTAATTATTGTTGATGATCAATCAAATCACAAGATTCAACTTATTAATTAACTGTGTCATGAAATGAAACAGATTAATTGAGTAAATGATAGTTAATCATTAAAACAAGATGATGAAAGGTAAAAGTTTACCATTGATTTTACTTAATCATTTGATTATTTGATTACAATCAACAATTAACAAAATTGCCAACAAATCAGAACGAGGATTGGAAATGAATTTTTAATAATGACAAAGATTTTAATTAGAAAAACGAAATTAAAAATCTAATCAAGTATTTATGATGAAATAATGAAATATGAACAAATTTTTTACACAATTAACAATTTAATTTACCTGAAATACTTGATTGTCAGTTGTTGATTGTTGACCCAATTTTCAGATTGGTTTCTCCTGATTATTGTTATATTATTTATATATGAGAGTCACAAAATCACAATTGAATCTCAATATATAAGATATGAGTTAATAGTGATAACAATTGATCCAAAATTTAATCAATTGTAATCAATATATTGAACCAGAACAATTTATTTATAAAAAAATCAATCAATTCATTGACTGGCAAAGCAAATGAAAAAGTAACATCAACATGGAGACAAAAAAAACAATAACAGTTAACACCTAAGGAAAAGTAATACAATGTATTATTATTATTGCAATATTTATACCTGATTGTTATTTGTCTGATGATTATGATTAGTGATTATCATTATTATGATTAACTAAATGGTGTTACCATGATTTTAACTGTTAATTTGTTGCTCCTTAATCAATATCAACCATTGTAACAATCAATTGAGACTTTGAGACAAACTATTTTCAAACTCACCAATTAATATCAATATTTAACTAAACAGTTTGCTATTGATTAAATGATTATAATTGATTCACATTTAAATACCTTGTTAATCAAGATAATATTTACATGTATCAATAATCATCTAGTTAATTTTGTAATCATTATCATTATCAAGATAATCAACAGTTAATGGTTAATTGTGGATTCTTTTGTTGTCATTTTGCTTTTCTATTGCTACTGATTTAATGATGGATTTAAATTGTTTACCTAATTGAAAATTATGATTACAATTTCATTAATTCAGTTGCAATTCAATTTTCCACTTGGAATGATAATTTTCCCATAGTAAAGATGATCCGAAATTCAATTTAACAATGAATATCTTGATTCCCTGTTTATTTTGATGATAATGATTAACTTTAATTGTCGTTGATTGTTATCAAATCATTTACTATATTGCTGTTTCAAGCAGTTTTAAAATGGTAAAGTTAATATTGAAATGATTGAAATGATTAATATTTTCAAAGGTAAGCAATAAAAGTGATTAAATTATTCCTGATGAAGATATTACAATTTAAGTTACAATTAAATTAAATCAAGTGTAACAATAATGTTACAAGTTAATCCATGATAAGAAAAACAATTAGATTCAATGATTAAATTGTTATTGATTGTGTGTGAGTTGTTAAGGTAAGACAAATATAAATACACAATCAAAGACACACACTCAGGATTAAGTTAAATAACCAAGTTAGTTGGTTAATTGTTGGTCACATAAATTGTTTATTATCAAAGATTAATGATATTAGATTATTAATTCAACCAGATTCATAAAGCTAAGGTAAGACAAATGAATGTTGAGTTATAATAATGACTTATTTTCATGATGATTATCTTGATTGTTATTAATGATTAGTAAAATTGAATTAGTTGGACTTAATTTTTGTTGCTCAAAGATGATGATTAAGTTAAGGTTATCACTGAGGGAAATGAGATATTTATTGTTTAAGTGATGTTAATCAGTTTCCATCAAATCTGATGATGATTACAAATGATTTCAAGTTAAGATACAATGTAAATGTATCTTGTAACATTTTATTGTATCTTCATCATCTTCATCTTCATCACTTTTTTACTAACTCATTTACAACTCTCTTACTCTTTCAGCAACTTAATCATCTTCATCATTTCCTGTTCATCTTCACTTCTCTCATCATTATCATCATCGTTGTCACCATCATCATCCCCTGTCATTCACCAAGGAAAGGGAGTTGATGTCTTATTTTTTTTTGCTGATGTTTCACAGCTTGAAACTTGTCTCTCCATCATCTCCATCCTCATCCTTGTCGCCATCATCATCTGCTGATTTCCTTTCAATCGCGTCATCATCACCAAAGTGTTTAGTATCACTTTCATCATAAACTAATATCATATTTTTCTCAGATCAGATCATTGCATCTTCATGTTACTAGAGATGCGAAAACTTTTAAATAAAATCAACTGTTGGTTGAATAATTGTTTTTGAATTTTATCGGTTTGAAAAATGAACATAAATCATGTTAACAAGATCAGAATCGTATGAATTTCCTATTATATTGTGTGTGAAATAAATCATAGTTAAAGATTGAATTTCAACTTATCCATGAAGATGAGGATAAAATAGAAAGAGAGAAAGAATATTCTGTAGAATAATAATCACAATTTCCACCTACAACTCACAATTTCTCATCTTCCATCATCATGAGAAAATGAACAAAAGTGTTTCTGTTGAGTGAAAATATTTACCCATAATTTTGTTCACAATTCATGTTAAGATTCAACCTTTTAACCTGAACATGGAACAAAAAATATTCTAAAAGCCTTTTCTCCAGAGCATCGCCATCTTCATCCTCATCTTAAATTGCAATTGAGTGATGATGATATTTTATCAATTATCATGATTATCCAAGCTACTAAGCTGACTGACTATGGAAAATGGAAGCAATTAATTGAATGGTAACCAATATCCAGACTAAAATCGAGTACAAAGTGATTAGATTCTGTTTTTTTTCAGTTCAGTTCGATTTTGCATCTCAGAACTTTTCAGATTGACAGAAAAAGCTTTTAAATACTTTTGTACCGAGGTGATTTCGAGACCTCTGATGAACCTGAAAGTCCTTGTGAGGGAGGAAACAGCAATTCACCGTATATATCAAGGTGAATGAGAAGAAAAAAGTGAGTGAGAATTGGGAGTGGGAGTGGAAAAAGTTTATCACATAATACAAAAGGTTCTGATTAGGTTGCTGATTGAAGCCTGTGTGAAAGAAACCATATGAACACCGATGAAGATAAAAAGGTTTCAAAAAGTGGTCTTATCATCATCTTCATCTTTTCATCATCATCATTTTACTCATGGTCATCATCTTACATCATCTTAACACCTTCAATGTGCCAGAAACAACAACAACAACTTTCATTATCCACTTTTACCTTGAACAGGAATTGAATTAAACATTCAAATTGTTTATTCAAGGAGTGAAACTTATCATTATTATTACTTATTACTTATTACACTGAATCCATGATAAGAATCAAGAAAATCCCCTCAAATCAATGAGTAATTATCATGATGGAAATTTAAAAAATTGAAAGAAACTAAAATAATAGTAAAAACGTAATTGAAATGTAATGAATTGAAAAATAATTTCAAACTGATGATGTAATTGTAATGATGATAATCATCATTATCAATGATAAGTCATAACTTTTTCATGTCAAATTAATCCATAAAAATACAGGGGAAAGGAGTTATAAGTTCATTGAGGAAAATAATAATAATTCCCTGATAATAATAATCGGAAAACAAAGATAGTTATCATAATGATAATAGAATCATATCTCAGATGATGATGATTATCATCATCATGAGCACAAGAATCATTCATCGATAATAATCAATCGATAGGTGCTCGAGCGTAATCAATGAATCAATCATCACCCTTCACCCTTTTCCTCCTTCCTTCCTCCATCTCCGCCTCCTAAT